ACAGCTGGGACAAAAGGGAATATTGTAAAACTGCTGAAGTGTTCTTTATGACCAAGTCAAAGACGTCAGTATCACCACTTTGTGATGCAGTTTCTCAGAGAGCAGTCTTATGATTCGAGCTAACTTAAAGCTATCCTGACACTGAAAGGGAAATCTCACCCTTAGCCAACACATGGTCCTGCCAAGCCTCTGTATCAACACTAGGGTTTATGCAGCCACACGGTGAGAGTCTGACTGCAGTGATCCATCTGAAAGCTAACCATGCAAACAACAACAACAAAAATAAATAAAAAAAAAACAACCAAACAAAAAAAACATCGTTTTCAGAGGGATCAATGAATTAACCCAGCTCCCCACACATGCCAGTACTGACAGACACTGAGGACAAGAATGCATGGGGAAGAGAAGGTAGGAGGGACTGCATGTTTCAATATCATTAGTCTTGCATCAGCTTGAGCAGAATATGAAGGAGGAGTAGAAAAAAGTGCCAGAAGCTTGAAGTGTCAAAAGTGAAAACTCACCAAAGAAAAAAACAACTCTTTACCTGTTGCACTTTGTGGTATTTGCATAGAGTTCATTAGTCTGCACTTTCCCCTCTCTACCTTGTTGAAAAACATGGTGAACCCTGTTCATACAGTTACCAAACTAGAGCTTAATATTAAAAGTTGTTTTCCTCTAGCTATGTTTCCTATAATGACCGAAAAGAATTAAGCATATTATCTGAAAACACATGAACACTAGATTTTATGAACTTTAAAAGAGGATAATGAACCATCAACAAGACAAACACTACAACAAATATAACACTAATGCATGTTTTGGATGTTACTTCCAAACCAGGGTAACCATCAGCTGCTACCTAAAGGGGTGGTTCTGCCCTCTTCATCCAAATCCTGGCTGCGTGCTCCTGTGACATTTTTTGTGTCACAATTGGCAACTGCGTGGGTACAGGACGAGTTGGTTCAGTGAACTGACATGACAGAAAACTAATCTTCCAATAAAAAACAGAGAAACTTCACAAATAAATCGTTTTCTGCTGGTTCAAGTCAATGACCTAATTCATTCTCGACTGAAGAATCATTTGGTCCATTGTAACCAGAAAGGAAAGGAATATGTAGCTGGAACTAGAGGGGATGTGAACTGACCTTTTCAGTCGTAGCCCACCATTACAGCAGTTTAACTGCCATATTTTATTTATATACATATATATTCATACACATACACACACACCAAGTTCCATGCCAAGATCAGCACTTACACAGTGTGAATTGTGCAATTATATTTCATCGTGTTTCCTTCTTTCTCTACCCAATCTGATATCACTTAACAATAAAAGTCTTTAAAGTATTTAAGATAACTAAATTCCACATAAAGTCTTCTATTAATCTTTACAAATTGCTGCTATCTGAAAAAAAGTTTTCATTCTACCTTCCCACAGACACTCTATTCCAGCAGCACATACTCTGATGTTGAAAGTCTCCTGTTAATTACAGCTGAGTGTACATGTTTTCACAGAAGAACCAGAAGCCTCTTCCCAGCATAATCAAAATCCAAGGAAATCGTATCATTTATGCTCTTATGAGTCTTAGGGAAGAAAATTCTCTAATGTACCTGAAGTATGCTACAATGACACAACTTATAAAATCAGACATGTATGAAGAAGATGCAATAGTTTGCTTTTATTTCTCTGTTGGAGATTGAAAAAGCACTGGGCATATCTTTAGGACTTTTATTCTCCTTGTGTACCTACGCAGTGTTTTTGTTTTGTTTTGTTTTAAAGAGTAATATTCTGTTTGGAAAAGTTCTTTAGTTTTGTATACTATTCTCTGTAACTTAACAAGGCTCAGTGGAAACGCTGAGACCTTTTTAATCGAGACAAGATCTCCTACCCCTCACTTTCTTTTCTGATTTCACACGAACGCTAATTTCAACTTCCCACTTTAATATCATCATTAGCTTAACCTTCTTCATGCTCTCCCTATAACTGCTTCCTCTCACAGATTCTAGTATAAAGCCAATGTGGTTATCAATGAATACTCCATTGTTAGTACATTTTCAAATGCTCACAAGCCTCCAATAAGCCTTCCTCCCATTTCCATTTCCACTGTTTCTTCAGATAACCCATTTCCAATTTTCCATTTTAGCTCTCCACATAATAATCATCAAGAAAATGTCGTCATTGACAAAGATGATGACTAATCTCGCCAGAGCTCTTATATATTTCCCTGGGTTTCCTCTTTTGCCATGTTCCCAAAACTGTCCTTTTCAAGATAAAACTATCCAAGATTACAAACATAGTTTGGCAAAACAGGAAACAATGGTTTTATGTTTAAACTTAGCATTAATCAGCCAGACTATTCTTCCATCTTTTCCTTGAGACTTCTAATTTGCCTATGTATTTTCAATAACTTGCTGTATTGTTTCTTTAATAGAGATTTTCCTTCTTCCAAAATGATTATTACTGCCTGCAGCCTGATTTTTAAATGTGACCTCAGAAACACCCATTTCTAAATAGATTCTAGAAAACAGAAAATTACATATCAATAGATTTTCTTCTAGTTTATTTCAGCTCTACTCCCGAGAAATCTTTTATTAGTTTATGCTTAAAGCTAATTTGACAGAGACTGCCTAATTCACCTTTTCCTTGGTCTTACAAAATACATCACAGAAGGCTTCAAATTGCTTCTCTCAGAAATCGATGCTAAGGTTTGTGCTTGTGAATATCTTAAAAACAATCTAATTATGATCTTTCCTCAGATGTGGTACATAAGAATTTCATTTCAAATCTGGCTACATCCCTTGAAACTTTTAGTTGAAGCACAGTCTATTTCAGAGATACAGAGAACAGCCTAAAAGGCAGTGAAAAGGCAAAGAATAAAGTGCTGAAGATAGGTGGAAGAAAGAGTTGCAATGAGTGAAAAAACTCTGTCTGTATCAGGCTGACATAAAACTGGTTCCAAGTAATGGGAAAGCAAGGCATTGAGCCTGACTTGTCTTGACAGAGCTCAGGAATGAAAGCTTGACCCAAACCATAAACCAGCATAAAAGCAGTTTAAAAAAAAAAAAAAAAAAAAAAAAAAGATTGCTAAGTCAAGTCAATCGCAGTGACATTCAGCAACACTGAAAAGTGACGAAGTCTCCATTAACATATAGTCAACTACTTTTATAAAACACAGATCGGCCCTCAAAACCAAGGGTGTGAGCTGATTAAATGTTTCAAAGAACTTGCATGCAACATTATGAAATTACTCAAACCCAAACAACACACAGAGGAAAACAAAACACATGCCTCATTTTTAGCCCGTGACAGAATACACTGGAGTATATCAACGGAAAGGTCTTCTGGGTGGTCTTTCGTAGTCTAGTTTAGAGTTCAAGCATACTCGCTGCTAAATTGCATAGAGAAAAGTACACACAAAGTGCACATCCTTAGCTTTTAATTCTGCAGTGCCAAAAACTTGAAATTACCTCTCAGTGACAATCAAACATTCCCTCAGTTTGGCAAAGGACTGATCTGGAGTATATGACAAATTTGGTACTAATGTGCTGTAGAAATTCTGGATCAACAAAACAGACTGGAGTGGACCTTTTAAGTTAGAGTGGTAAGAATTAAAGATATAGTCCAGAACATTTGCTGAAGGTCTGTTCACATCTTGTTAGTTCTTCAAATGAGGGAAGATGCCTTAGGGATTATCTTACTCTCTCCTACCAACATGCTACACTGACCACTCCAGCCAGTTCTATGTACACATATTACATCTGTAAGTGAAGTAAATTCCCAAGACATTATTATTGATTAGGTGATGATCCCACTAAGAGATTTATTATTTTTTTAAACATAAAAGTGTTTAAACTCCCTTTTTAAACAACAAGGTGTTTCCATAGATCAAGATCAAATTTTGAAATAGTCAAGCTAAAGTCCATAACGTTGTATTTTTCATTTGCTTTCTCCTTACCAGAGAGAATCATGTGAACGAAACTAAAGGAAACTTCTCATCTTTTATTTTATGGAAAGATTAAAAATACCAAATGGGAGAATTGGATATCTCATAGGAGATACTTAAGCACGAAAAAAAAAAAAGATAATTATTTTTCAGTCAAAATGCAGACAGGATTTTCTACTTAAAGCACCTAAGTAGTTTTCAAGGCAATACTGAGACAGTAATAATTTTCAAAATAGTAAAGTACTTCTAAAGTAGTTAGGTTTTTTTTCTGAGAGAGAAAAACATTTGCTTGATCCTTTGATATTTAAGGATACTTACCAATCTAGGAATCAAGATAGTAAAATCTGCATTTAGTATAATAAATACAAACACCCTGTTTGATATTAAAAAAACCTGTAAGTTGAATAAATAGAAGAAAAACTTTTTTTTCCAAGGGTCAAATATACTTGAACACATCTAAGATAAACTACTAAAATATACATAGACCTCGGAGCGTAATTCTGACTCTTGAGCACTCCTGAGACAATCAGCACTTAACTGCAGCATGAAACTCGTAAGCCTTTGACCCTGATAAAGCCTTCAGGATGAAAGTAGAATTGTTTATGGTATTTAACTACACACCAGTGCCTTTTTCTCCATAAATGTTTGGGGATTTTTTTTTTTCCCCCAGCAGGGCTAGCACTGATCCATTTGAGTTGTTCTGCAGAACAAGTGCTAAGAAAACATACAAGAAACCCATGGACATTAACGACTGCCCCATTATAATTTTGGAAAGTAAAATGTTACAAGGATAAAATATAAAGGAAAAAAAGACCCTTAAATCAAGGTGCTAAAATCATACCTAGCTTTCTAAATATATCACCTTTTTCTCTGAGCCTCATACAGCTTTTCAGACTCACTTCAGGATGTCCTTTTGAATACTTCAGCCCAACGGATAATGTGACTTTCTGGTTCCAAGATGACAGTCAAATATGTGAAAAACTACATTTCTATATAAACATTCATCTTACCGCTATAAAACAAACCAGAAAACCTATAGAATGGTTTTGTACATACCAATACACCATTTTCACATGTCCAAGCACTTGGATCAAATTCAAGTTTACTGACGCAAACAATAAATCTGTCTGGAAACACACGTAGCTCTACACAAAAATAATTGAAAAGAAGATTACAAAAAATTATAAGCATATTCAAAACCACACATAATGACAACATATATACACATTATTTTAGTAAACAAAGTAATTTATTTTTTAAATTGCACACTAAATCACTTCATGCACTCCACTAGTTTCTTACCTGCTCTCTTCAACGTCCCATTCCTCCTTTTGCTTTGCTTTTTTAAGCCATTCAAAAAAAAAATCAATAAGTCAGAGTAAGCTTAGTTCCCAGGAGGATAGTCATGGCTGCAACCTAGTCCACCTGCACCCCTGGACAAATATCCCAGACAGATCCAACAGACAAACCACTTAATGATTTCTTTTGTGCTGTTCTGGTGATGAGTCTTTCCACCACCAAAGCCGTAAATTATGTTTGTAATACAGCACAACGTATTCAATCAAGACCTGGCATAAAAACTCAGCATAAGGCTAAGTGTTTCAAACTCTGACTAGAGTGATTTTTGAAGTCATTAAACAAATTGTTTAACTCCTGCCAAATTACATATTTTACTCAAGATCACATGGTTTGTTATGAACACAACAAAGTTTCTGTTTACAAAGGATGAAAAATCGAAGGATTCTCAGATTGGAATAGTCCAGACAAAGCTTTATGCAGTACCTAGCAATGCAATGAAAAGAGCATGGCTGGATATTTTGTTATTTTACATGTCAGATTATTTCCAGATTACCACCTTCACATTTTTCAGCTTAGGTCTTTTTTGTTGTTGGTTTTTGGTTTGGTTCTATAAAAAGAGAGTTGCTCATTTTTCGAGTCTGGTATACTCCAAAAGCAAGTCATAACACTGTTTTCTGGGACAAGAAAGGGACAAGGCATGCAGAAAAAACACAAGGCTGACCTCAGATTTTTTTGGTAGAATATCTCCTCACAATGAATTGAGTATAGGCATGATGTGCACCTGTGACAAAGCAGGTCATCCATATGGGTGACTGCCTCTCTACAAGGTACTGCTTCTTCACCAACAGCATATCTCCATTAGCATCTGACAAACCCCTCTGAGTGCGTACCAGCTGGGACTCTTCCAGAGTTGTTACCATGAAAGATGGAGATGTTGAAATAGATTACCTTGCCTTTGCCATTGGCTGAAAAAGCCTACACAGAGACCTCAGATGCAGCTGTACTGGCACAATAGCTTGGTAAGCTACTATAACTTGATAATGAATATAAGCCTCTCATAATCCTCTCAGAAATATCAACTCTGTTAGAAAAACTGCGTCCAAGGAAGTATTCATGCTGTGCCTTAAGTCCAGACTATTCTTTCTCTGCTTGTATCCTCAGGACCTGAAAAGCCACCCGCAAAGGTCTACTACAATGGCTTTCAAACTGCGAGCAGTCTGCGGGCATCTTCCCAACGGGCTACAAAAGAAAAGCCAGACAACTGTTGCAAGGACTGAATTTGTTAGGTGGGGTTCCAATAAGAGCCTCTCAGGTACGTTTACTTTAGATATCGAACGAGCATCACCGATTAAAATATGCAAGATTCTTCTTCTATTAGGCTCAACGCCTGGTTTTGTTTGTGAAGTACTAGGTGCATCTTACAGAAAGGAAACATCGGTGCCAAATTATTTATTTTTTGAGGATATGTGCTTATTTTGGTATTTCTTGGGAGCACAACCCAGCCAAATGAAGGTCCTTTCTTGTTAGGAACTTCATGTGGAAGCAAAGCTTTGACTGTAGCATCAGAGCCTCTCTTTTTGGCAGTGCTAGCAGGGCAAGTTCATTCCAGTTAGACGTTTTTAAATTTACATTTTATAACAATCTCACTTGCTGGTTAACAGAAGGAAAGTATCTTTAGGTATTCATCAATGCTTAGGAAAAGTTCAAATTTAATACATAAAAAACAATGTTGAGATACCAATGCAGACACTCTGCTATTCTATTCTAACTATTCTTCTAGGAGGCTGGGAACAAGTTTGATGAAACATTTAAAATCAACCCTCCAGTCTCTTCAACCAATATGGACTTAGAAAACAACTAGCTAGCATTTGAAGAGACATTTAAACATTTACAAATACAATGAATTCCTATAAAAATAAGAAATTATTTTAAAATGTCCGTTCAAGTATTCAACATTTTTAAGGGTAATTGATTTATTTTGCTTTTTTTTTAATACAAAAAGCTCCACGCAAAGATCAATGATCATTATAGCTCGTTTTTATTGTGGGACAGGATTGATATCACTTCCTTACAGAGCATCTTGGCTTGAGAAAACATAAAAAAAAAAGATCTGGTCCAATGACATCACCTATGCAAAGATTTTATAGCACTGAGGTGAATGAAAGCCTTTTCTTGCATACACTTGTACAGTACAGTTGATGTCACAAGACACTCGAGCAATAATGAAGTGATTCATGCTGCAACCTCTGGTTGCTTCACCCTGCAGAGACTCAGTAAAACGCTGAGTCTCATCATACTTACAGAATTTGGTGTGGCTTAGCTGATTACCCTGAGGCAAGGCATATACAAATTTAAAATTAAGTTTTAAAAAAATCCATCATATGTTAAGAAACACCTTTTTTTTTTTTTTTTAGGAAAAAAAAAAAATCAAGTTCTGAACGGAATTTTAAGTAGACCAAAATCTGACAAAGTATTAGTTTATGTTCCTTTTTTTTCTACCAGAAATGCAAAATTCCAAGTAACACTAAAAGAAACTGATTTCTTACCACGATAACGTTTCCCT